CTCGTGCACGCGCTTCTTCACGCGCCCCGCATCACTGAAACCTGAACAGGTGAAAGCTGCACGCGCTGCGCGGTTTCCTGCTGCAGATCTGAGAAAGTTCTGAAGAGCCGAACCGAACCTCTCCGTCACTCCGCCCCCACCGGGACGGGGCCCGCGAGAGGGAGGCGGACCAGCATCCAGCACAGAGCCGATCCGAACCGGACCGCGCAGCTTGTCCATGAGCCCGAAGCTGTCCACGCCGTACTCAGTCACAGACATCCTGAGCCCGATGGAGGAGGCGTACCGCCGGTTCGGAGGGATGGAGCCCGGCCCGCTGGGGGCCTACCGGCAGCCTGGGACCCAGATGCAGAACCAGAACCACCTGTACCACCACCACCATCATCACCTGCCCACTCCCTCCTCTTCCTCAGCTCTGGGCCCCGGACCCGCCTACCACACTCCCCCCGGGGTACCGCAGTTCTCCGGGGCCGCGGCGGGGTTCGGCGGCGGCGGGGAGCTGCTCCCGGAGCCGGGGCGGAGCGGAGGGCCCGCCGCCTGGTACGGCGGCCCGGAGCCCCGCTACCAGAGCAGTGAGTCCGGCCCGAACCGCTCCTTGATTTATTTAAAGTGCGAAAAACTGGTTCTATGTCCAGTAGAGTCAGTCTGCTGAGATTTAAACTTTTTATTCTACTTTGAATAATTAGTTTTATAGCTGGGAACATTTTGGATATTTAGATGATTAAATCGAAATTATTGAATTTTTGTAAAAACCTTGAGACATTTGTTGTGAATTGCAGCTATAGTATTTAACTGAATTTAATAGTTCGGGTTTGTTTAATCCCCCGTAGAGTGGATAAAGTTTATTAAAATAAGTCTGATTTTTATGAATTGAGCTAAAAATAATTTAATGTAAAGAAAATGAATCTTTACTTTAAACTTGAGTTTTAGTCGAATTGCAGATAAAAGTCTAAATTACTTTTTAACCTGCTTAAAGGACAGAATTTCGTTGCAATTTTGTTCATTTTCCTTCAATACATTTTTTAAACATTTAAATGTGTTTTAAATTTTTCATTATTTAGAGAATAAAGAAACTAGAATAAAAAGTAAAATTAACTATAAATAATTTTTATTTATGACTGGCGGATTTTTCCAGGTTAGTTTTTAACTCAGTCTCTCCCAGTCTCCAGGCTGATGGCCGCCCCGAGCGCGGTGAGCCTCCCCGGGATGGTGGGCGGCCTGGCCGGGATGGAGCCCGGCTCCAAGCCGGTGCTGTCGCTCCACGCCGCGCCGCGCCGCAAGCGGCGGGTCCTTTTTTCCCAGGCGCAGGTGTTCGAGCTGGAGCGGCGCTTCAAGCAGCAGAAGTACCTGTCCGGCCCGGAGCGGGAACACCTGGCCGGCCTCATACACCTCAGCCCGAACCAGGTCAAGATCTGGTTCCAGAACCACCGCTACAAGCTGAAGCGGCAGGCCAAGGACAAGGCCGCCCAGCAGCAGCAGGAGGCCGGCGGCCATAGCGCGGCCTCCCGCCGCTCCTCCGCCGGGTCCCCGCTCCTCTCCAAGGCAGATAGGAGCCGCCGGGGCGAACCGAGCCACACCGGGACCCGCCAGGCCGGCTCTGCTGACGCGGTAGCCAACCAGAACCAGAGCCAGCGGTCCTCCCCGGAGCAGCCGGAGGATCTGTGCGCCAGCCCGCCGCTCGGCCTGCAGCCGCACATCAACCTGACGCAGACGGACGCGGCGCTCATCGAGTACACCAGCAGCATGCTCGGATCCAATTTACTGTACGGCCGAACCTGGTAGAACCGGGAAAACTGGAGAACATTCCCGACACAGGACCGCAAGAGGGAAAATGATCCAGTTTTTATTTCCGCGTGTAAAACCTCGGTTCCTTTATGCAGAGACTCGACTTCCAGCGGGATGGAGGAGAAATAAAACCGAACAGGACCAGAACCAGAACTTCCTCCTGGATTTAAGGGAATATTCCTCAGAGTTCCGGTTCACTAGTCCAGTCTGCTGATAACGCTGATTCCAAAACTGAAGTGGAAATGAAAGCCGGTTCTGTTCAGGCATGACTGTTTCCTTTTTAAAAACGGAATATTTCATGTAAAAAAATGGATTTTTATTCTATTTAAAATTATTTCCTTTGTCTCAATGAACTGAATCTAAATAAAATGAGAAAAAAATAATAATCCGAAGACATTTAATCCCAGCAACATTTGTTTTATTCCACAATTTTCTCTCAGAAACAAAACGTCAACATCACGTTTTACAAGCTGGTTTTAAAAAGATGAAAATATTGTACAGAGAAAATTAAAATATTTTAAAAAATTTCCCATCCTGGAAAATTCAGTTATTCCAGTGGATATGTCTGGATGGAGGAGGAAGAGGGAATCCTCTGGCCTGGAAAACAAAGAAGCTGCTTTCATTCCGACTGGGAAAAAAAAAATACATTTTCATTTAAAACACGACAGAAAACAACAAAGTGTTTAAATCATTTTAAACAGATTTCATCATTTCAACGTGTAAATAACATTTTCATTCCAAAAGGGGGATTATTTTGAATTTGATCAGTTGAGGAAAAAACTTCCCAAATATATTTTGTCCGATGGGAAAATCTGGATGATAATAAAAGCAGGAAAACAGATTGATGATTAACTTGGTTCTAATGTCACCGGATAAAACCCAGACGGTTCCGGATTCGGTTCTGATCAACTAGACTTCCTTAGTCAAACTAGGATTCTGCCAGTTTAAACTGGAGCTCCGTTAAATTAAAACCACTCAGCTCGGATCGGACTGCAGGGAGATTAAAAATGCAAAAATCTGAAGTAAAAATTAAAGTTCTGACTAATTTTAGTCTGAACTTTAAGTTTCACATTGATTTTTCCATTTTGTTTTTTTAAGATGAAAATCTAGAAAAATCAAAGTGGTTCTGATCTGACTGGCCCGTCAGGATGTGATGAGCAGAACTGGGTCAGAACCAGAATTAAACTGGGATCCATCTGATCCCAGATGTTTACCTGCTGCTGGCCCCGGTTGTCACGGCGATCGCCCCAGTCTTCCCGGCGCTGGTCGTAGCGCTGCTGGTAGCCGCCCGGTCCCACCCCGCCGCGGTTCAGGTTCTGCTGGTACGCAGATTGCTGAGCCTGGAGGGTCCGGTCCCAGCCGTGGCCCCCGCCGCGGTACGGCTGCTGCTGCCTGCACACACCAACGTTCAGCCGGTTAT